ACGTATGATTGTTTATATATTTTTCTTATATTACTCTGATGCAATTTTAGAAACACTATGTCAGATCATAGCAGATAATTTTTGAAAACTACCAACAATAATGAAATACATCCGAAATTTTGTTTGTGATAATACGCCCAAGTTTTCGATACATCATAAAATTAGGTACCTCTTGAAGCGGCAGAGGATGCTTATAAAATTGAGTTAACCCACAGTTTTTGTATTATCAAGTAACTGATAAGCGTAGATGCTCATTTCATCAACAGCATAGACATTTTTTGCATAATTTGTATTTATTAATTTCGGATGTCTATTGTTAATAATTTACACATCTAAGATATATGTTTACAAAAATTATCAGCTATGATCCGACATAGTGTTTCTGAAATTTCATCAAAGTGATATAAAAAAAATTATAAACTATCATACGTAAACCGCTGGTTTCCTGTTTGCAAACTTACATTGTCTATGGCGTGCGAAAAACTGTTTGTTCTCTATTAAAATACACATCTATTCCTCCAAATATAAAAAAAATAATAGCAAAAAACGAGTTTTGTGGATTTGAACCTCCGTCCTGCGTGTCAGAAATCATCGCTCTCACCCACTATGCTACGACGCCCCTTGGTTTACTGGATCTTCTGACCACTACACTTGACACTGACAAATGTGAAGCGAACTTTGGAGGCATATCAAATCTATTATAAACAATTAGAATACTCTTGGAAACTATACAAGATACAATGCTTTAACTTTAAATAATGTATTAGTGACTAATACAGAGCATTTTTCCTAATTTTGAAGACAGTCAGTTCGCTACAATTGGTTGATATTTGTCTACTGTTTTTTCGTTTTCTCCAGTTTATTTTCCAATATTTTGAACTCGCAGTTGATTTAATCAAACGAGATTTCGAAAACAGACGTATACTATATGTTGGTAGAGAAGTGGACTGTATTTTTTTCGGCTTTTATTTTACTTTTACAATCCTAGCTGGTATTATTTGAATAACAATAATTGTTTTGTACTGCGTCGTGTCTGTGTGTCGACGGCTCGATCATGTCATCTTGCAATATGGCGGCCACCCCTTCCTCTTCTCCTCGTCGGCGTTGCCACGTTGTGGCTGTTTTACGTGATCTGGCGGAAAGGAGCTTAACATAACTCCCCACCTTGAAGGGCCAGGCCTTCAACATCTTAGTCGTGGATGGGTAAAGGACATAGTTTGGAGAATGCCCTTTTGACTTCACCACGCTGTGTCTTCAACGTAGCCACTCTAGAAACACCATGAACGTCTCTGGACACAGATAACACTCGACCAAGCATCCACTTCATTGGTGGGATGTTATCTTCTTTAATCAGAACCAACATTCCTGGTTCCAGCACCCGTTGATCATCTGTAGTCCATTTCTTTCTGCGCTGCAACTCTGCCACGTATTCCACGTTCCATCGTTTCCAAAAATGCTGCTTAACGTTTTGAATTTTTTGAAATTGAGACAGTTTGTGTTGCTGTATATGTGTAACATCAGGATCTGGCACCTCGCCTGTAGTCCTTCCCAGGATGAAGTGAGCCGGAGTTAAAGGAAACAGGTCATCGGGGTTGGTGGATAAGGGAGATATAGGTCGCGAGTTCAAAATAGCTTCTATCTGAACAAGTATGGTGTATAACTCCTCAAACGTAAAATGTTGTTCACCAACTACACGTTTTAAATGATACTTAACTGATTTTATTCCTGCCTCCCATAGGCCTCCAAAGTGAGGCGAATGCGCGGGAATAAACTGCCAATGGATTTCGTCTTTAGTAAATGCCTCACAAAGTAAATCTTTATTTTTGTCTAAAAAGGTACCTAGTGCCCTTAATTCCGAATTTGCGCCTACGAAATTCCTCCCATTATCGGACCAAATTTGACGGGGTTTTCCTCTTCGAGATACGAATCGTCTTAAGGACAATATGAATGATTCCGTAGACAAATCTGTGACCAACTCAGTGTGCACGGCTTTTGTACAAAAACAAATGAATAAGCAAACGTAGCATTTCACTAATTTTGCACCGCGTCCTTTTTTATCTTTCATAAGCAATGGGCCTGCAAAATCTACTCCAGTTATTTCAAATGGATATTGACCTTCAAATCTAGATTTTGGCAAATTTCCCATAATGGGATTCAAAATTCTAGAGTTATGTCTAAAACATATAACACATTTTTTTATCACAAATTTTACAAGACTATTTCCGGAAGGTATCCAGAATTTTTCACGGAGAGACGCCAGCAACGCTTGGGGCCCTACGTGATATAATCGTAGGTGTTCTCTTTCACAAATCAGTTTTATGAGGTTATGTTTAGGAGACAAGATAATGGGATGTCTCTTGTCATAATTATACGCACTATTTGTTAGTCGGCCTCCAACACGCATTATGTGATTTTCGTCTAAATATGGGTTGAGGGTCAAAAGTTTGCTTTTTTTACTAATTTTTTTGTCTGATTTTAAATCAGAAATTTCCTGACCAAAACACTCCCTTTGTGCAGCTTTAATTAGACACATGAAAGCATGATCGATCTCCTCCATTGTAAGGATGCCCATTATCCTTTTTTCAGTACTCGTGGATGAATTTTTTATGAAGCGAAATAAATACGCAACGACACGTTTGAGTTTTGTTAAAGTTGAAAATTTATCAAAAGGAAAAGAATTTGCGTGGAATGATAAAAGATTGGTACTCTTTTCTTTGAATTCAGGTAGCTTTTTCTCGTCTTGCCCTGGGCGAGGCCATTCTGATTCATCATTCAATAGGAAAGGAGGCCCTGCCCACCACAAACTATTCACCGTTAAGTCCTTAGGGTACATTCCTCGAGATAAAATATCCGCAGGGTTCACTTTAGTTGGCACGTGTCGCCACTGACATAGGTTTTGAGTTTCTAAATTTTGTATTTCAGACACTCTATTTGCCACAAAAGTCTTCAATAAATTTGGTATGGTTTTGAGCCATCCAAGAACTACTGTGGAATCGGTCCAGCAGTAAATGGTATCAACGACTATTTTAACCGAATTCACAACCTTGTAAATTAACTTGGCCAAAATCAATCCACCGCATAATTCCAACCTTGGAATACTAATTGTTTTTAGCGGAGCCACCCTTGACTTTGCGCATAATAAGGAAACGTGAATTTTTCCATTCGTGTCTATAGATCTCACATATATTGCTGCTCCGTATGCTTCTGCACTCGCGTCAGAAAATCCGTGTAATTCAACTTTCATAGCATCATCACAAATAACCTTGCGATTAATTTGTATCTTATTCAATTCCATTAAACTATTTTTTAGTTTGAGCCATTGTTTTCCTAATTCTGGCGATAGTGCTGAGTCCCAGTCTATTTTTTCTAGCCATAATTTCTGAAGCAATACTTTAGCTATAATAACACACGGACTGACTAATCCCATGGGATCAAACAATTGACTTATGTCTGACAAAATTGACCGTTTTGAGACCTTATCATGATCCTCACTCGGTGACACTTCAAAATTGAACGTATCAGATTTTTTATTCCAGGATAGACCAAGTGCTTTAAAACATTCTGTTCTATTTATCACCAACGAGTCAGTTTCGGACGTTGAGACATTCATTTTTCGCAAAATTTCATCACTGTTAGAACTCCACTTTCGTAATTCAAATCCTCCGCTCTTCAAAATTTTGAAAACATCATTGCCTAACTTTACCACACTATCAATACTGTCGGCACCCATTAACATGTCATCGACATAGAAACAGTTCAAGATTATTTCCGAAGCGTCGGGATCTGAAACTTGATGTTGTATAGACAATTCTTTGATGCACCTCGTTGCTAGATATGGCGCGGATTTTGTCCCGTACGTTACTGTTTTGAGTTCGTAAGTGGCTAATGGCAGAGAAGGGTCATCTCTCCATAAAATGCGCTGCAAACATTGCTGCTCTTTTTCGACTAAAACTTGTCGATACATTTTTTCGACATCTCCGCATAGAACAAAACGGTAAGTTCTAAATCTTAAAATGATTGACATCAAATCATTTTGCACGACTGGCCCTAACATTTGTAAGTTATTTAGTGAGTAACCCGTAGTTGATGGCGCAGAAGCATCAAAAACTACTCGCAATTTAGTTGTCAAACTGTTTTCGCGTAAAACGCCATGATGAGGCATATAATAAACATTGTCGCTGTAACTTACTCCATCCAACTTTGTCATGTGACCTAAAGATTGGTATTCTAATATGAATGCCTTATACATTTCTTTAAACTGAGGATTTGCCTCAAGTTTCCTTTCTAAACTCAAAAATCTTTTTTCAGCATGTTCTCGGGAGTCGCCGAGTTTGCTTATATCATCCTTGAAAGGAATAGACACAATAAAACGACCGTCGTTACTTCGCCTCGTGGTTTTGCTAAAGTGTTCTTCACACATTGTTTCTTCATATGATAGCGGATTCGCGCAATTGACTTCCTCAATTTCCCAAAATCGCGTTAATTGGTTTTGGAGATCTTGATTTACCGAAAAATTACAATAAGTACTGTTGTAACAGGCAACAGCGTTATTTGGTACATTGCCTGAGACTATCCAACCTAAACGTGTTCGCTGTAATATGGGCAAGCCCGGCCCTAGCTTCGTCTGACCAATGCATAGTAAATCGTAAAATAAGTCAGCACCTATCAACATTGAAACCTTGGCTGGAATATTGAAATTTGTATCCGCTAACCCGATATGTTTTGGAATATTCAATTTGCCAACATCAATAGGAACATTTGGTATGAGCCCGGTAATCTCAGGAATCACAAAACAACTCACAATTTTTTTTATAATCATTCCGTATAGATTCTATTTCCACTGAACATCTATGTTTTATTCGAGAAGCCGTGTTGTTTATTCCCTCAACAGTCAAATCTATTGTTTCCTTTTTAATTCCCAACTGATCACATACATCCGAGGTTAAATAGCTTGACTGACTGCCCGAATCAAGAACCGCTCTGACAATTGCGCTTTTTCCATGTTTTCCCCGGACTATAACAGATGCGGTGGACATCAACACGAAATTATTGGAACTGAACACTGCATGCGGATTCCAATTGTTGTCGATTGTGTGATATCGAGTCACTTTCGCTTTGCGATGCTAAATCCGATATCGACCAAAACGCATTCCCATTGAACCCCGTATCAGGCTACGTCAAAGACGATATCGAGCTTCGTAGTTTTCGTAGCAAGCATGGGCATTTACATCTGTTTTGTTGGGTTATGTTTATTTGTTGTGCTTTTGTACATTACCGTATATTTCAAGTTTGTTTAGAATGCTTCCTATATTCCACCGGCGTTTGGAAAGAGTTAGGCAAAGGCAAGAAAATAGAGGTCTTGTTTTGTATAGACGTCATTTGAGAGATCACAGTAATCCATTCGATATTCCTGAAGAACGGTTTATTGAATTGTATAGACTGAATAAAGAGTTGGCAAGGTATGTGATAAATACCATAAGCCCAGTGATGGCTCAAGGAGTGTATGGGAATTCCATTCCAAATTTGATTAAAATTTTTGCCTCATTACGGTTTTATGCAACTGGATCATACCAAAGAGACATAGGGCTCTCTTACCTAGTGAGCTTAAGCCAAACATCTGTGCATAGGTATGAATAAAATATTTCTCTTTTCTATGTTATTTGCTATTTTACACTATTAGTTTTTTATTATTGGATAATCTTAGAAGACAAATAGCTAAAAGTTCTTGTACCTTGTACAAAAGTGGTGCATAATTTTTCATTAATGGCCGCAGAACAGATTTATCCATTTATTTGATTTCATTTCTAATAATGGAAACATATTTTAGGTGTATTCAGCAAGTTACACAAGCAATTGAGACTACCATTACAATACATGAGGTGACATTTCCAACTAATGAAATTGAACATAATAGAATTAAACATTCTTTCATGGATAAGTTTGGATTTCCTGGAGTTATTGGATGTGTGGATGGGACCCATATAGCCATTTCCAGGCCAGCCAGAGAAGCTCATAATTTTTATAATAGAAAGGGCTACTATTCTCTAAATACACAAATTATTTGTGATGATAATTTAAAAATTTTAAGCCTGAATGCAAATTTTCCAGGATCAAATCACGATAGCTACATATGGAGGCACACAAGAGTCAGGCAATATTTATTACAACAATATCTTCAAAATAGATTAAGGGGATCTTGGTTAATAGGAGACTCAGGTTATATGTTAGAACCTTTCCTGATGATCCCCTTTATAAATCCTCTAGATGGCTCTCCGGAGTCTAGATACAATCACTGCCATATTAGGGCGAGAAATTGTGTTGAAAGATGCATAGGAGTATGGAAATGTAGATTTAGGGCATGTCTACAAGAAAGAACAGCAAAGTATTCACCAAGTTTTGTAGGCTCCTTAGTTAATGCCAAAGCAGCTTTGCACAATTTATGTATAAGATTCAATGTCCCTTTATTGGAAGCTCCATTATTAGAAAATGACCCAAGTTATTGGTCACATTCATAATGTAGAACATGAGTTGCAAAGGCAGGCATTAGATATTAGAAATATTATTGTTAATCAATATTTTTTTAGGATATAAATGTTTACAATTATGTAAAATGTTTTTTTAATAAAAATGTATTTATAATATTTCTGCAGTTTGTATTACAAAACTCTACTAAACTAGCAATAAAAATCAAAACAAACAAAAAATATATATTCCAAGAAACCAGTGTTACTGCTTTTAATAAGTTGTTAGCATTCTTATATCTAGTACAAAGAGGGTTGATATTTTTATATCACAAATCTTGACTAAACTAAAAATCCAACTATACACAAAGAAGAAATATATTCTAGAGAACAAATAAAGTCCTCAACAAAAAAAAGTTTATCATTTTGTATTGCTAAACTAGCAATCTGAACCTAAAAAAAATATATATTTTAAGAAACAAGTGCTTATCACAAATGGTGCATTCAAAAGAGTTACACCAACAGTCAAATTTGCAAACAGATGCTTGGAGGTTTTCAGTACAAAAATATATGTTAAGAGCTATTTTGGCTTAATTTCTGTAAAATCATTTCTAAATTTGTTGCATAAACCTTAATTTGTTCAGTTAGTTCCCCTACATTCTGGGCAATATTTGATACATTTTGGTTAATACTGTGTAATATAGAAACAGTATCTTTATATAAAAGCTTAACTTCATCATTTTCAGATTGTCGTGTTGGTGTCTTAGATGGTAGATAATCATGGTCCTAGGTTGTAAAAAGACATTTTTCAACTCTGGGATTTTTCCTAAATTCTATTTGTTGAGGTTTAGGAGTCAAGGTTTGTTGTGCAGATTGCTGTTCCTCCAGAATAGGAAAATTTGTAGCAGCTGATGTTGATGCAACTGGGGTAGCATCATAATGCTGCATGTCATCAAGTGGAAGCGCTAACGTGTCGTCCAGTGGAAGCTGCTTTACAAATTTTAACATTCACTTATTATAGGATAATCAACTATAAATAATACTTACACCTAATTCTTGAGTTCCAGTTCCTTTAAAAAACTTTCCCCTAATATTTCTAAAATTTTTAATTCAAAATCATTCAAAGTTTTTGAACAAGCTGGGCCGCCTCCTGTTAAATTTCTAGATCTTTCTATTTCTGCTGCCTTCTTTTTTAAATTAAGCTTATAGTCACTCCAGGACTGCAATAAAATTTATTTATTATATATTCAATTTATTGGTATTAACAATAAAATACTTAATAATTAAACTTTTAAAAGCTGAGTTTAAATTGATACAAAACAGCTGATCAAAATGATCACCTTCACCCACCAACATAGCAGAGTATAAAAGATTATGTCAGCTGATCATCGAATTGATCTTTATACTTTCCCAACAGTAGTAAACCAATCTTGGTTTACTTTCAGGAAGTCAAGATTAGTAATCTTATTGATCAGGTACATACAGATCACTGTTTCCAAAAAGCCCTATTATGTTAATAAGGTTTGGATTCTATAATACATTCAAGCTGAAAGAATCTAAGAAAGACATTGTGCTAGACAGGAGATACTCTAAAAAGTACTTGTGTCTCTTTAAATATAATAATTACCTTTTGCCACTTATCCACACTCTTTTGCCCCAGCCCTAAAGAATTCAATTTGTTGGTCAATTCACTCCATAATTTACTATAATCTTTTCTGACTTGGCTGCTACTTAGCCTACCTCTCGCCAATTCAGGGTTTTTCATCATCCAATCTAAAATCACATGCCAATGGGCTTCTTTAATTTTGAAAGACCTGGAACAAAGAAGCAATGCCTGTAAATAAACAATTATTGAAAAATGCACCTTGCAAAAAAACTATTTAAAAATTGATATTCTATATATCATTCATAACAACGTATAAATTTAAAACATACATATTAAACTGTTTTGGAAAACGGCTGCAAAATTATTTTTTGACAAGATAACAAGTCAGAATTCTAACTTTTTTAGGTTATGTTGGGTATCGAAACACCCTATTCGGGTCCTCTAGATGTGCCGAGTAAGTCGATATCGGATAACTCGATACGAGTTTGAATGGGAATCGCAAAATCTCCCGAAATCGACTAATACGATATCGAAATGGAAATGGGAATCCAGGAGCTGATATCGCGACTGATGCCGTTTCCGCGCGCTCCCCACCGTTTGAATTTGACGGCTGTTCGAACGTATCGTTTGAATTTCGCGGCGCTTCCCCAGCGTCGTTTGCGGAATGAGCAGATTCTAGCTCTGTTGCCAAATTGCTTCTCGACGTTTCTTTGTGCAATAGCACATGATGTTTATAATTGCATCTTTTACAAGTGTTTGCTCTGCAGACGGTACTAAAATGTCCGGGTTTCAAACAATTCAAACACAAACGTAGTTGTTTTGCCTTGTCAATTCTTTCGTTGACACTTAATTTATTAAAAATGCCGCAACCTGAAATCCAATGATTTTTTTTGCACACAACACAGGATGCATTTGCAGATAACAAACCTCTTGTTTGTCCTATTCTGTTATGTTTACTCTCAAATTTCTCAGCTGCTTTTTCTTGATTCTTCGATTCAATCGTTTGAAGAAAGTCAGCACGATCAATTAAAAATTCTCTAAACTTTTCAATAGTAGGTCCCCTGAATTTTTTGTTTTGTTTTTCCCAATCCTGATTAGTTACTTTTGGCAGTTTTGAAGTTACAATGAAAATAATTAACGCATCCCAATTATCAATTGGTTGGCCTAACTGTACAATGGATCTGAGGTGTTTAGACAATGTATCTATTATTTTCCTCAGCTCAGATGCCGATTCCCTCATGATTTTTTCTATATTGAAAATGCCTTGTATGTGCTGATGCTCCAGCACCTTTTCATTGTTATACCTCTCCTTGAGAGCCTTATACGCATTCTGATAATTATAACTTGAAAACTCTAAGGATACTAAAATATTTGCGGCATCACCGACTAAGGATGCACGCAGGTAGTGAAATTTTTGTATATCAGTGATGTGATCATTGAGATGGATCAGAGATTCGAAAGTATCTCTAAACTCCAACCATTTGTCTGACCGCCCATCAAATTTTGGCAGGTCGATAGTGGGAAGACGTACGTTTAAATTTTCATTAACATTTTGGTGTGTAATTCGCGATCGGGCACTTACTTCGCTTTTATTTGAGCCGCCATCAGACTTTATACTTTCTTTAACGCTGGCACTGGTTTGATTCGAACCGCAAGATTTGACGCTTTTTATGCTCTCTACTTCTGACGATTTTTTCAACAACTGTTTCAACCTGGCCAAACACCTCGTATTTGTTTTCGAAATCAACCCTTTCTTGAAACTGATCAGGTTCGTCTGATAGCGATTCAATTTGACATTGTATCCCCGCGAACTCGTCCCACAAAAGAGGCATACGATCGGCCTTTTGTTTCCATTCTACAAATTGCAATTCTTCAATACTTGAAATATCCTTTTCAACTGCATCTAGCTGTTTTACTAGATGAGTTAATCTAAATTTTACTGATCCTCTTTTTTTGATTAAAATTTTAAGCAATTGACCGTCATCTACAGTATCATGTTGGTCGGCCATTTTCAAATTATTTATTTTAGGCAAATGCAAAATTCAAATAAAACAACTCGCTAAGGATTACGTTAGGAAAGCGGATAAACTAGGAACGACTCACAGGGTATCTCCCACGATGTCCTTCAGGTGCATGGAATCAGCGTCGGCGACGGCAACCACCAGGGTATCTCCACAGCGGCAGCAGCGTAGCACCGGGTCCTGCAGAGTGTCTTCTGCACGGGCACAATTTTATTGATTCCCGATCCGCGATCCGGCTTGACTTGGACCAATTTATGTTGGTAGAGAAGTGGACTGTATTTTTTTCGGCTTTTATTTTACTTTTACAATCCTAGCTGGTATTATTTGAATAACAATAATTGTTTTGTACGGCGTCGTGTCTGTGTGTCGACGGCTCGATCATGTCATCTTGCAATATGGCGGCCACCCCTTCCTCTTCTCCTCGTCGGCGTTGCCACGTTGTGGCTGTTTTACGTGATCTGGCGGAAAGGAGCTCAACACTATAACTTTTAGCTTTTAGAAAAAAGGTCCAGGGAATTATATTTCTTCGTTAATAAACTGGAATATGTGACCTACTTATTTGACAAAGTCATGCAGTGATCAATAATGCAGCAATTTTGCACATGTTAGATACTAACTAGTCTAACACAGTTTGAAACATAATTGTGTCTTCATTTTGCGTGATAATTTTATAAACAGTTCATCGCATTTCAGTATGAAATATTTATTTTTATAAACTTTAGGGCCCATCTGTGACCGTGTAAAAATTTCAGTTCTAAATATGTATACACAAGAGTATGAAAAAACCTTGAAAAAAATTATTTTCTTCGCAACAAAAGGTGATGGACACATCCGCTTTATTTTAAGATATGTATAATAACGTACGTTTTTCGAATATCGTAGCGAATCTGTTCAATTACAAACAAATACAAAATGTTTGCATTTGTTTAGAAGAAAAAAACGTAACCCTTCGCTTTTCACATAAAAACAATTATCTTTCGGAATGGTTTGAGATTTATGTCGGCAAGGTAAACTCGTTTATTTTTCTATAAAATGCCGAATGTATATTGCTCAGTGAACTAGTAGTGATGGCTGGAAGGCAGGTGTTTTGGGATAAAGAATTAAAAATTCTCAAAGACTGCTTGACCAATCGACTCCAATTTTGTTGTGGTTACTTAGAAGTATGAAGCCTACGGATTTGAGGAATTTCAAGTAGCTGTGTGAAATTATCGTCGCATTAGCAGCAAGTGCCAAAAAATGCATTTTGCCTCGGTTTTCGGCCATTTTTTACTGTTAGTCTGATCTTTTTACGTGTGATCTTATGCTGTAGGTCTCATAAATACCTACGAATCTTATTTGAAGAGTTTTTTAGTTCCTGCCAACACTTGCGATTCAATCCCAAACAACACGTTTTCCGATTCTTTGTTGTCGAATAAAAAGTTTTTCCATAAAAATCGGTGTACCCATTTTATGCGTACGTTTTAAATACTTTACATTTACTTCGGGGAAATTTGCTAATATGATTAGACTAGTTGCAGAATATTGTTGATATTATCTGGGTTTTAAATGGTATAAACACCTTTGCACATTTGCAGAATGCAACGGATCCTGTATATACCGCGACGTTGCCATATTGAAGAAATATAAGAAAATTAACGTAAATACGCATGTCCACGCGAAGCAGCTCTCCGGTTTTACAATTTGCAGGGTCATTGACAGGGTAACAATGCCTTCCATCGAGCTATTTATACGATACAAATTTGTCGAACAACACGTTTTCGATGCTAAGAGGATGGTTATTGAGAGGACTCAGAGTGTACACATCATGTAGTTTGCTTTTAAAAGTGTGTATCTTTCTCAATATGCGCCCACCTACTTCGATTATTCTCTTATAGTCATTCTCAGCTGCTTCTGTATATTGAATTCTTTGTTCTGGTTATAATTTGATGTGACAAATTCATTGAACATTCAACCTCATTTTCCATCGATTGATTTCTATTAAACGACACGTTGCTGATAGCGGTCGAAGCTGAGAGGTTTTTTTCAATTGTGTGGTCATTGAGAGGACAACAATGGCTTAACACAGGCCTCTCCAACTTGAGTGCCACAAGGGCAGCGCCGAGCACCGGAGCACCGCTCGCCCATTTCCAGCGTTTGTTGTCGGTAGGTATTTTGGATGTCCGATTTTGTTAGCATTATACTTTCTATGAATGCATTTTATACCTGTTTGACTGTTCGGCTGCTTAGTGGGGCAGCAGCATACACATCTGACATTGCGATAAAGGTTTTATGGTAGTCGTAGCGCTCGGCGAATAGAAATGGTCCGGGAGCTGGTCACACTGAATCTTCCTTCATCGCGGATTCGACTAAATTTACTAGTTTTTAAGTAAATGAACAAGTAGAGCTCGGTATGACGGGACGCATCCTATCGAAAGTACCTATCATACCGACTTGAAGATAAAGCGTGAAAGAAGAAGGTCGCCGTCTTGGTAGAATCCAATGCAGCCTACATACGTTGAAATTAAATTTTAGAATCATTTGGAAAAACTTGAAATGAAAAACTTATTTCGTGTTGACAATTGAATTGGTATGATCGAGTCAGCGCGCAGGTGTTAAAATAGTGGTCATAAATTCGACGTAAACACATTTATTCTTAACATCTTTGACAGCGTTTCGATTCAACAAATTTTCCAATATTTGGTACAATGATTTTAGCAGTGGAAATTCTATGGCCTCTAAGAATACATCTGACTATGATTACCTCCTCAGAACATTGAAGGGCTGACCTCAATTCATCAATCCGCACTCATCTTTCATCGCCAATAATGCCATCATAATCGGTAGAATGTTTGTCTACATAATGTCGGTGAATACTCGATGACTTAACGTTAACTATGCTGTGACAAATTAAACATTGTGCTTTCCATCAGTATTTACAAAAAATAGGCTTCTTCCCACACAGGATTGAACGACATCGTTTAAAGAATAAGCACGTTAAGGCCACTTTGTCTTAACCTATTAAGAAATGGCCTGCGACCGGGGGATAGTCCGATAATATTTTGATTTCTGTCGCGACGGCTGTGTGATCAAGGAAACACACGTTTCCGATGCTAAGAGGATGGTCACTGAGAGGACTCAGAACTTAAACACCCCGTCCCTTACCCCACCGCACCAACATGGGTTCCGTCGAGCTATTTACATGAACAGAGCTGGATTACGTTACAGCACAGACGCATACAAGCTATTTGAACAACCACGATAAAGTTCAGGTAGTCTACAAAAAATATACTGTCAACATTTCTCTTATACAACACCGAACTGCTAAGAGGCGATTGAGAGGGCAGCAACACAATGCCTTACACCGGCCGTCGACTCTTTTCCATATTAGAATACGTTGGTGGTCGGGGACCGAACCGATAATAGGTTTTAGAATTAGCGTGCCCATTGAGAGTCTACTCTTTTCTATAATACAATAGGTTATTGATCGAGGATCGAAGCGTCAAGAGGTTTTACAATTAGAATGGTCATATCATCGGATTAAGGTGGAGGGATGACGAGATTGAAGCGGGAAAAGAGCGCTGCTGCTCGTTCGCCCGGTCGATGAGTTGTAGTAGTGGTGGCTTAAAATTGAACTAACGACGTTTTGGGATTTCAAAATTTCAAGGTCGGATTCGTTATTCTATTAAGTGCAACACCCTGTAAGTTATACTATGAATTTATTGTTTCACTGTAAAACAAGCAACAAATAATACAAAAAAATTATAAGTTAATGTTTTGCACCCTATTTAGTTTTTCCAACATTTATTAGGTAATAATTTAATTCTACCAACTGATGTTATAGAACTTAGATCCTGCTTTAAAAGGATTCTGCATTTAGCATGCAAATATAGGTCTGGACTAGTGTTGCCAGGTGTCCCGATTTGCGCGGGACGTCCCGATTTTCAGGGGTCTCGAGACGCGTACCGATTTGCACCTAATCGGGACGCTAAATCTCCCGATAAATCAATCAGTTCATTGAAAACGATCATTATTACAAAAAATAAACTAATCACGCATCACATCACTATGTCTAGTACGAGAACGCGCTGAAAATAGTATACATCATCACATCACTATAGTAAAATACCAAAAATGATGGCAGTAGCGAAAGTCATCGTACGCCACTGCTATTATGCGGAGACCTTCGAAAATGCGGCGCTTCTTTGTGAAATGTCGGCAACCGTCGCTGTAATCAAAAGGTACCGCGTCAAAGCAGCGGCGCACGATGACTTGTGCTACAAGCATTTGACTATAGCGCTATACACAAAACATGCTCTATAAGGCGCGATATCGCCTGCATGTCAAGATCTTACGGTTGGTATACGATTATCGCCTTTAGCGTCTACGCGCTTGCGTACTCACGCACATTCAAACATAACGTTCGCTTTTGTAATGAATATAGTTCCCGAAGTGGTGCTTTTTCACGAACATTTGATACACTAACAATTCAATCGATCAAAAGTGTTATATTTCATATGTGTTTTGCGATTTTAGCAGCAGTCAAAGTATACATTGAAGAGGTTATTTGCAGGAAAGCATTACAATCATCTGATTGAACATGATGTTAATGTTTGCGGAAATGCTTTTTTCTAACAGCGCAGTGCACTGGAAGTGATACCTCATAATTTGGTTCTAAGATTTTATTTTGAGCTGGGGAATTTTATGATATATAATTTAGTTGGTTTAAGATTGATATTGATATGAATATAAGTAAGTGGTCAAGTTTGAATATTGCATTTAACTTTTTTAGGATTATGTCCATTGTTTTTGTGCTTGATTAACATAACCAGACATAGTAATTTACGCGGGCAAAATGGCAGTTTCATCAATATATGTATATAGTATTTTACGAATATGGTTGTGTTCATTTATGTCCATGTGCGGTGTTGGTAGCTGTTGCTGGAATGAATCAGATTACTTCTATTTTCAGATTCCCCTTAAAATGAGTGATCCGGAAACCGATTTCGAAG